ACAGGATTTTCATTTTGAATAGAAAATGAAACAGAACTAGGTACTTTAATTTAATTTAATTCTATAATTGAAGCGGAAGTTTTTAGCTTCTGTTTTTGAAACATGATAATTCCTGTGTAGCGATGGAATCAATTTTTTTAAAATAATTATAATATATAATAATAATAATAATAATAATAATAATGGACGGTTTCGACGTATGAGGATCTGACAGCTTATTGATTCAGTTATGAAATTTTGTGCGATAATCTTAAATGGCTTTTAAGACCCGCTAGTGATTTACAAAGGAGGCCACATATGGAGTAAGTGTGAGGATTGTGAGATGAGATCACTGTTAGATTGGCTGACCTTTTAGATCTTGCTCTCGAAGATGATTCAAACCAGCTGAGTCCACTAAAACACGTTGATCTCCATTCTACCCGCTCCAAAGCTAAGTGCTCAATGGTGTTATGTGGTATATTGACTGCTGACAAGTTGCTTTTCATCTTGTCTTTGTATCTTAGCCATAGGGCGTCCTACATTCCTTTAGCCCTGCTCTAACTGGCTGTACATTATGATCTTGGGTATTCTGTTATCAGACATTCTGAAGATATGACCAGTCCACCGTAACTGAGACTGTATGATAAAAATCTCGATTCCTCCAATATTACACCTGTTTAACAAGGTCTATATATATATGTTTCATTGTTCCAGGTCAGTTTTATTAGTCGAGCCTAGAACTTTCATTATGCGTTCGACTACGTGCCTAGATAGATAGATAGATCGAGAGGTAAAGAGAGAGAAAGAGAGAGAGACAGAGAAGGTATGCTGAATAGTTCTCGTCCAGAGTCACTTCGGAGTATTTAACCAAATGAACACACACAAAAACATACACGAGAACATTTATAGACGTCTTTATATATAAGGCAATTAAAAACGCTGATGTCAGTTTCAAATTGCCGTTGGTATGTACAGATTTTAAAATCTTATCAAAAAATAATGTTTCGTTTCATATACAGATAACATCTGTGTCATTCCATTAATACATAAATTAATAACTATATATATATATATATATATATATATATATATATATATATATATATATATATATATATATATATATATATATGTGTGTGTGTGTGTGTTTACGTGTACATGTGTGTGTATCTATACGGATAAACAAACTGGATGAGACATATAGATAGAAAAAGAAATAATTAATGATCATAGTATATCAATGGAGTATAATAGAATGATTATTGGGATAGATAGATAGATAGATAGATAGATAGATAGATAGATAGATAGAGAGATAGATAGATAGATAGATTATTTGTGTATAAAGATAGACAGACAAATAGAGAGAGAGTAATAGAGAGACCCCTTATTAGTGTATAAGGATGGATAGATAGATAGATAGATAGATAGATAGATAGATAGATGTTACGATCGATACCTGAATGAATGCGTGTGTTAACGAATATAATTTTCCAATGTAAACTTTATTCAATTTATAACCACAATATTATTAGGTTACTCATCGAATAAATAACACTTTTTATTTCTTTTATGCAAGTATACGATAGTACGCGTGGCTTTATGAACGAATAAATTTTAAGTAGGTTTATTATTATTATTATTATTATTATTATTATTATTATTATAAATAAATAATAACAATCCCAGGTTTTGTTTCAAACACCTTTATTTATTCAACGCAAAGTAATTTTTTTTATAGTTTTATGTATCATTATTCACTTTGTACACGCGCGTAAACCCGAAGAATCAGTAGCAAAAATAAGAAGAAAAAGCGGAAAAAAATCCTTTCTGTGAATTTAATATTAAAATCGGATTGAAATATTAGCAAGGAACAACATAATAACATCGACATGTTTGTCGGTGTATAAAGAATCATAGATGAACAAAACGATATACAAATAAAAATGTCTATTTTAGCAACAATAAAATTATACTCTCCCAGTATTTACTTATATATTTATGTACATACATCGGAAAGCTCGCATATCAATGCTGTTCTGACGACTCTATTAATGTTGTTGTTTACACAATTCTGAGAGCACAAGAATATGTGTAAGTGCATTTCTCTGAGCATCGATATGAAACATCAAAATTATATTTCTTTTACCAGTATTAATCAATATACTTACATGCACATATATTATATATATATATATATATATATATATATATATATATACAGATACATGCATATATATATATATATATATATATATATATATATATAAATATATTAAGGAAAGACAGACCACTTTAAAGGCTCCGTTGTAATAGTTTATTTCACAGAGACCTTTTAAAATACTCTGGATCATCAGACATCACTTCCTTTTGGAACTCGTCGGGTCAAAGATATAGAATAAGCTATATCTTGTGCCCGACGAGTTGGGTAACCAGCGAAACACAAGTCGCACACCAAACGTAGGTATATGTGTATTCATCAATATATATATATATATATATATATATATATATATATACATATATATACATATATATATAATGTATATATAGGCATTATATATATACATTATATATATATAATATATATATATATAATGTATTTATATATAATGTCTATATATATATACATATATATATGCATATAGATATACATATAGATATATATATATATTTTATTATATTATATATATATACATATATACTGATTTTGAGTTTCTCAACATGTATTTATATGCCTGATTAATGACAATCCTTTCCTCTTCTTTCATATATTTCAGTTTCTATCTATCTATCTATCTATCTATCTATATATATATATATATATATATATATATATATATATATATTTTTTGTCTGTAGATATATACACGTACAATTTCACACCATCGAATTTACATCTTCAAACCAAGGTCGTATGACCTTGAGCTGTGAAACTGATCGATACAATGCAATGCTGATCCAATATCCATACAGTCTTTATCTATAAATTCTCTATCTCCGTATAATGAATACTCTTCGATTGACAGTATAGTCAATTTTCAACAATATTTAATATTTCAACACACACACCCATATACATTATGTGCTCTCTGATATATATATAATAAACAAAAACTTCAAATTTTCCAGATTTTCTATATCAACAGGAACCAACCAACACTCAACAAAATTTATTATGTGTGTAGCAGCAACGTGTTGAAGCGCATAATTCAATTTTTTTGAAGTGTTGAAGTGCATAATTCAATTTTCCGGTCAGCTCCTTTATATTCGAACGCTTGTTTTGCAAAATATTCCATAACTACAACGGATAGATTTAAAATTTTAAAATAATTATAACAGCGCATTCACGGGTGCATTTTTAATCGGCATCACAACGAAATGCAGATTTTAACGCAGTTACGATGAGTTTGTCTTTGCAATTCATTTCTGGTGCTTATCTTGGAAGAGATCGAAAGTACTTGCCTAGAAAAAAACTGCGAAGCCTTCCTTGATGGATTGCATCTTAACCATGACGATACTGATTAGAGAACTGGAAAGAATCAGTATAAGAATAAATAGACATAATATGTCTATATTATTCAATGAAACATGTTTCACTGAAGATATGCTACCTAAATACACACACACACAAAAATATATATATATATATATATATATATATATATATATATATATATATATATATAGTCACAAGTCATTGTGATCAAGGTGTTGTTCAGATTGTTGGTCATTATAGATAACACCTCTCTGACAGAAACTGTAAATAAGGTCTGCTCAGCATAGTTGCAGTATAAACCACAGGTGGTCTCTGTGGGTGTTGAATAAACACAAATGTGCCTGAGCGAGAGTCTGTAATAGGGATTGGCTACCCGCCCTAGTAGACGTGTATCCTCGAATACGATTGGCTAGCTTATATATATATATATATATATATATATATATATATATATATATATATATATATATATATATGTATGTATGTATGTATGTATATATATATATATATGTATGTATGTATGTATCACTTCTCTCTTTTTCTCTTGGTCTCAGTCTCACTTTGTCTCGTTCTCAATGCAAATATCGCGTTGAAGCGGAATTATCTGTGTTCCCGTGTGAAATACGTTTTTTGTCTGTTGTTCCATGTGTGAAGCTGTGAAAAAGAGGGCAGAACATAAAACGTAGCAAATATACAAAATGCATGAGTGTTTGTATAATTCGACCAAAAACTATCGCAACTCAAAGCCATGGGTATTGTCAACAATTGATACAACCATTAAATTCCACTGTTTTGCATCCTCAACACTTCTACAAGGCAAACACGCACACTTTCACGTCGATCATACATGACAAGACGACGCTTATGTTCTTCATGTTAAGAGTAAATAATACCAAATTATTGTTGTAATAATTTCGATTTTCACTTCTTCTCTTGTGTCATACTGGAATAAGTGTAGCCGATATTATTATATGTGTGTCTGTTTGTGTACGCGTGAAGGTGAGTGTGAAAATAAATGATTTTATTACAGGATTTTTTTTATTTTTTTATTTTTTTTACAGTTTAATTGATTCGTACATCAAATGTGAAGGGCATGTGCTGGAAGATAGTGCAACAGACAGGAATTTCTGCATAAGTAATGGATGCTCATTGGGTGATTTGCATGTATGTATATATTCTTACATGTAACAATATAATGAAATACGTGCTGATAGATAGATAGATAGATAGATAGATAGATAGATAGATAAGTAATTCATGATATATAAATGAAGTAGAACTATATATATCGATAGATAGAAAAGAGTAGATAAATGATAGATAGATAGATAGATAGATAGATAGATAGATAGAGTAATTCATGATATATAAATAAAGTAGCTGACTATATATATCCATAGATAGAAAAAATAGCTTCATTCATGATCTAAAATAATAGATAGATAGATTAGATAAATAGATTTGATCTAAATGAAGTAGCTAACTATATATATCCATAGATAGAAAAAGAGTTTCATTTGGTCTATAAATGATAGATAGATAGATAGATAGATAGATAGATAGATAGATAGATAGATAGATAAGTAGAGTAATTCATAATATATAAATAAAGTAGCTGACTATATATATATATCCATAGATAGAAAAATAGCTTCATTCATGATCTATAAATAATAGATAGATAGATAGATAAGTAATTCATGATATATAAATGAAATAGCTAACTATATATATCCATAGATAGAAAAGAGTTTCATTTGGTCTATAAATGATAGATAGATAGATAGATAGATAGATCTAATATATAAATAAAGTAGCTGACTATATATATATATCCATAGATAAAAAATAGATAGATAGAAATAGATAGATAGATAGATAGATAGATAAGTAATTCATGATATATAAAATGAAGTAGAACGATATATACCCATAGATAGAAAAAAAGAGTTTCATTTGGTCTATAAATGATAGATAGATAGATAGACAATAGAAGAGTAATTCATAATATATAAATAAAGTAGCTGACTATATATATATATCCAGATAGAAAAATAGCTTCATTCATGATCTAGATAGATAGATAGATAGATAAGTAATTCATGATATATAAATGAAGTAGCTAACTATATATATCCATAGATAGAAAAAGAGTTTCATTTGGTCTATAAATGATAGATAGATAGATAGATAGATAGATAGATAGATAAGTAGATAGACTATATATATATATATATCCATAGATAGAAAAATAGCTTCATTCATGATCTATAAATAATAGATAGATAGATAGATAGATAGATAGATAGATAGATAGATAGATAGATAGTTTAACGTCACAGAGAATTATGTCAACAAAATGTAATAATAAAAAATACATAATTAAATTTATTTTAATTTTTCGGTTGATGTGTAGTTTAGATTTTGGCAGAATTTGGTCCATTTATTTTTGGTCGCTGTCAAACTCTCCAAAGAATGAAAGAATGAAAAAAAATGAAAGAATGAAAGAAAGAATGAAAAAAAAAATAATTCCAGGCGATACATCAGACACTAGTAGATAGAATAATACCATAAATTATTCATCTCTATGCAGGCATCTTTCCGTTGCTTTTAAATTCAAATCCCATTTCCCTTTGATTCTTCTATCTTTTCACATGACAAAATCCCTTTGCCATAATTATCTATGTGCCTGTCTATACAAACGCTCGCCATTAAATTGTCTTAAACATTTATTTAACCATTCGGGAACTTTGTAAGGGATCTTTTATCATCTATATGAATCCTACACAAACACACACACACATACACACACACACATACACACACGCGCGCGCGCGCACACACACAGATGCCCATAGATAGATAGATAGATAGATAGATAGATAGATAGATAGATAGATAGATAGATATGGACTGAGGTAAATAGATATGAACTGACTGAGGTAGATAGATATGAACTGAGATAGATAGATAGATAGATAGATAGATAGATAGATAGATAGATAGATAGATAGATAGATAGATAGATAATGAACTGACTGTGGTAGATATGAACTGAGATAGATAGATACATAGATACATAGATAGATATTATTCCCAATTATACATCTTTAACTTTCATTACAGTAATGTACTCTTTCTATAACATGCCTATTGTTATCTCCACGCACACACACACATATATATATATATATATATATATATATATATATATATATATATATATATATATTATATTATCAGATTTTGTCATGAAAGTAAATATTCTCACAATAACATTTGTATGAACCAACTAATTCTGGTTGAAGTTTTGAGGATTTACCCAAAAGTCGTATGATAAATATTTGAATTTTAGCTTATAACGTCGCTTTCTCTCAGGAACATTTAGAATAAATATTTAGTATTATTTTTTGTTACTCGTGGTTTTTCCTTATATTGTAAATAAATATAAAATAAAATATAGTTATTGTTATTTTTTTCATTTCAGGTATATAAAAATTGCCATGGGTCATAAGAAAAATATGACTTCAAAGGAAAAACGAGATGCTGTAAAGTTATACGAAGAGAACGTTCGAAATTGTTTAAAAAAATCTTAAGTAGAGAACAATAAAAAGAATAATTGAAAAAATTAGCAATAAATAAAAAACAATAAACGGGATATAAGGATGACTTAAGAAGAGATTTGAAAAAAAAAATTCAAAGGTTAATAAGCAAGAAAAGTGAATTTATTAGAAATAAAGTATTTGATGAATCTCGTATTTCGATATTAAACAGAGACACAAGAAGGTGACTATTATGAATAGTGTATGAAGTCATGACAGCAAACAAACTACTACCTTTAAATAACTTCACAAAGAAAAAATGTGTAAATTGGCCAAAGAAGGCTGCCACATATGGTCTGGTGCTCCTGCTATATATTTAAAGATTCCTGATAAAATCCAATAAAGAATTCGCAATGTTATTAGTTCTGATCTAGCATTTCAGCTTCAGTCATTTTTCCCAGCTATGCGATGTAACTTCCCTGTGCTTTTTTCTATAAATCCTTTCAATGGTATTTCTTCTGTTGAACTTTCCGCTATGGTACCTAGACTTTATGAATTTAAGCACAGTACTATATTAGCGGAAAGGTCTCTTCACTTTGCAGCTGTTTTGGCTCGATGCAGCTATAAGTTCTATGCTAACAGTTTCTTCTCTCGCACTTCTCACTTGTGGAAATCACTTCCGCTTTCATGGTTTCAAGTCAACTTTAATCTTTAAAAATTTAAATGCAATGTCAATTGCTATCTACTGTCTTCTTGATTCCTGTTGTTTTATTGTTCTCGATCTTTAATAATGTTTTTTTTTTCTTGTTCTCTAACAATTATTAACCCATTGTGTCTTCTTGGCTTTACTGCTTTGCGTGTGTTGAAATGATAAAAGAAAACCCTAAAAAATGCTTGATAACGTAATGTTTAGTGATGAATGTATAACTGCATTGGATAGACGGGATGGTTGGGACAGAGATCTGTTCCTTCATGTGAATAGTTAAGGATTACAATCAAACGGTCGAGTAATGTTTGACACAAGTAAAATTATTGGTACTTTCAACGTTGGCATCAAGATGAATGCAGAAAAATATCATATGTTCTTAAACAAGACGTTTTTTAGTGTTACAAAAGTGAAAAGTTAAGCTGTTCATGAAAAACAATTGTCCCTCACATAATGCGCAAAGGGTAATGTTTCTGATCTTAGCCAAACATATTTTCCAATACACCATATTAACGGAATATAGTGGTATGCATGAACTTCACAAAATCCACTAAAGACGCTGGAAGTACTATTTATAGAGGAAGAGTATTCAATATCGTAGATAGAGTGTTTATAGTTAAAACTAGTGGAATTAGCACTAGATGGAGACTATCAATTTTACATGGTGATTAGCAATTTTAATTCGATTTCCAGTCCGATCTTCAAAGTCGTGGAAATCACTATGAACTGTTAGTTATCATATCCACATCTCGATGTTTATATATATATATATATATATATATATATATATATATATATATAATCATCAAGATGCTTATATATATATATATATATATATAAATTTGAATAAGAACAAACAAGAAAACGGTTATAAATTTGATATATTTCGCATTTATTTTAAATTCACCAGAAATTTTTGGGAAATATATTTAAAAACAAATTCTGTTAAAGCTAAGGGAAATAAGTTAAATTTAGAAATTGTTACTGATTTTTTCCTTATTTATTCATTCGATCGGATTTAATCCATATTTTTCTGAATACACACACACACACACACACACACACACACACACACATATATATATATATATATATATATATATATATATATATATATAACATCAGACAATCTTTTCGGTCATCATTTGTCTGATGATGGCAAAAGTGTGAAGCCAAGGGCCAAAACTCATATCCATACACCTTATTACGTTAGCTCTATCACTGATATTGAGCGCTTTCCACTAACGACGATATTATATATATATATATATATATATATATATATATATATATATATATATATATATATATATATATATATATATATATATAT